AAAGTAGGGGTGCCTGGGAGGCTCAGTCATTAGGCATCTGCCTTCGACTCAGGTCATAATCCCAGGGTCCTGGGATTGAGCCCGCTCCCTGCTCAGCGGGAGGCCTGCTTCTCCCTCTCCCACTCCCCCTGCTTGTGTTCCTGCTCTCGCTCTCTGTCAAATAAATAATTTAAAAAATCTTTTAAAAAAATAGAAAAGTAAATTGACATTAAAAAAAATAAAAGGTGCCCCAAGATAATTAAAAACATATACATGAATGTTCATAGCAGCACTATTCACAATAGCCAACAAGTGGAAATAAGCCAAATGTCCCTCAACAGATACATAAACAAAATGTGATATATTCATATGATGGAACATTACTTGGCCAGAAAAAAAGAATGAAGTACTGATAAATGCTACAACACAGATGAGCCTTGAAAACATTATGATAAATAAAAGACACGAGACACAAAGGCCACATTTGTATGATTTCATTTATATGAATGTCCAGAATAGGCAAATTCAAAAAGACAGGAAGTAGATAAGCAGTTTCCAGGGGCCAGGGGGAAAGAGGAATGAGGAGTGACTACAAATGGGAGCAAAGTTTCTTTGGGGAGTGATAAAAACATCATGGAATTAGATAGTGGTGATGGTTGCACAACTCTGAATATGCTAAAAACCACTGAATTGGGGGCGGCCGGGGGGCTCAGTGCCGAGTCTGCTTCAGATTCTTTCCCCCTCTTCCTTTCCCCACTGGCGTACACTCACTCTCCCTCTCTAAAATAAAACCTTAAAAAAAAAAAACAAAAACCCAAAACACTGAATTGTACACCATCACCAAATACAGGGTATTCCAGAGTTCAGTAGGGGGCTCAGCACCTAGTGATGAATTAGTCCCCTCTACCACCTCAAACTATAATCAGAACTGGCCTGGGAGTCAGGAGACCAATTTCTATATCCCAGTTGTCCCCAACATCCATGTGACCTTAGTTAAGTTTCTTTCCCTGTCTGGTCCTTCATTTCCTTCTCTATAATATGGGTGCATTTGGACAGGGAACAGCGAGGCTGGTGTGACAAGATATGAGGGGGTATCTGAAGGACCTGACTCCCCAGAATCCTTTATTCTTTCCCCAAGCTTTCTTGTCACAGAATCTAATAATCAGTATCCTCCTCATCATCACTTTCCAGTTTCAAAGCACATTCACATACAGGTCATTTAATCCTCATAACCACCCTTTAGGATAGATAGGTATTATCCCCATTTTCAGATGAAGAAACTGAGTCTCAGAGAAAACTTGCCCAAGTTCATACAATGGGCAAGTGTTGGAGCTGGGACTCAACCCCAGGTCTTCTGATTCTAGATCCTGGGTTCTACCCACACTACCACACTGTCTTTGCATGTTTAGCCTCTCTCTGGAAACTCAAGAGAGCAATGTCTAGCAGCTTCACCACAAACACTATACACCTTTGGACAAAACAAGAGAAGAGAGGCACAGGGAACTGGGGTCCTCTTTGATCCCTTATGAACCTGTCTATACTGGTACAGCAGTCTAAGCAGAGGAGCATGCCTCTACAGTGGTGTGGACACCAAGCCCAGGACATCACAAAGATACACATACAGGTACACTTGACCTCTTCAACAGGTGACATAGCACACTCCTTACCAGGGTGGTAAGGAAGTTATACCTTTAGTTCAGGGGAGGCTGAAGAGGTCAGAATTCTGGGATTCTGTTCTCTAAGTCCACAAGATTTATTTACCCCTCTGGTGAGACCTCAAGGAAGGGGCAGCTCCTCAATCCTTAGCATATGGGAGGAGTGAGAAGGGAGGGACAGGGAACCATCCTCCATGCCCTTGCCAAAGCCGAGCCCAGGAAAGGGAGTATCAGTGGAACCAGGGACTTGCTCCTGAGCTCAGAGAGCTGGGCCTCAACCTCAAGGATTATGAGACCACTGCTGCCAAACCCAGTTGAGCCCTTACGAGTCACAGTGCCTGGGCTCTAGAAACGCTACCAGCTTCATGGGCTTTGGTAAGTCACTCACCCTCTATGATACAATTTGCTTCTCCAAAAATGTGGCTAATGACTGCTGGGTCTAGCTCAGAGGGGTGCTTCGAGGTTTCCAGGACATAAACAAACTGAAATGTTTTAAAATGTACTTTATGAACACATGCTTTCATTCTTCCCTAGCTGGCAAGGGGAGTGACCCACTCACTCCTTTCCAGGCAGCAGGAAATTACACACAGGTTGGGAAGCAAGAGGGCATCAAGCCAGAGTCTCTTCAGGAAAGGCTGGGCTGCCCTGAGGTAGGGGGGCTGCCCATGCTCGCTTACACTCTTCCTTTTCATTTGACCAACCAACATTTATCAAGCATTTACTACAGGACAAGTGCTTTTCTGTGTGAAGATAAGGCAGCGAAGGAAAGAGAAAATGGCCCTGTCACAGTTTATATTCTAGTTGTGAGAGACCAACAAGTAAACAGCAAACATGTCAAACACTGGCAGGTTCTGTGCTGAATTAAACTGGGTAAGGTTAGTAGAGACACACACATCCATGGCAACAGAGACAACTCCCTACCATGCTGGTTCGGTTTGCTCCCCTTGGATTTATTCTCCATTCTTCTCTTTCCTGCTCTGTTGCCTCCAGATTGCATCCCTGGGTCAGCCTTGCCACCTGCCTTTCAGTTATGTTTAGCCAAAGGCCCCAGAAGACCGAAGAGGATAAAAGAAAGGTAGGCTATGGACAATCCCACTCTTTGCCTGGCCCCAGTTCTGACAGTGATGGCATTCCTCTATACCACAATGTCCATCTGTCTTCCACAGCTCCTTCTGGAACCCATCCCCACAAAGCCTTGCAGAATTAGCCTTCCAGATGTGCAGGTGTACCTACCTGTGAAGGGATATGTTGTCCACGGATACCAGCTGGATGGCCTCTCCCACCAGGGCAGGAAGGGGAGTTTGGGTGCTAGAGATACCCGTCACAGACAAAATGTGAACCACGGCCTCACTCCCATCCCTCAGTGCTCCAGCTCTTACCAAATTATTCACACCAGCAAAAGCAGAAACAGAATTTGGGGGTTCTAGAGTCCCTTAGGACCTCACTGCCCCAGACGTAGAACCCTCTCCAAGATCCAGCCAACTTCCCACCTGAAGGAATTCAATCTACCTACCTCCAACAATCAATAGCTCATTACCCAACTTATTTCCTTGATTGTACATTTATCACTATTGGAAAAAGCTTATCAATGTGTAGGCCTGCTCTACCTGATTAGACTATGTAGGCCATTGAAGCACAGAATTTATCTTGCTCTGTGTGACAGCATCCTAGGCTCAAGCACACAAAACTCGGATGTTTTTGCGTCAGTGGCAACGGAAAGGAGTACAAAGCACCTCTGCTCCCTAACACTTCCACAGGGATTGTAACAACTGCTTGGCATCAGGGGTGGGCAGATACTCTCAGAAGTATTGCCCATCTCTTCAGGTATGTGGGGGCAGGAGCCCCCAAGTGGGACAACCAGGATAATGCAGGAGCCAGAGAATCACTCGTTTCTAAAGATCCCCCACTTCGCCATTTCTAAGTGGCTAGAGCCACTTAGTACAGGCCTCAGGGAAGCACAGAAGGAAGAATAGGAGGGCTACGAGCAACTTGGCCATAGGAGGGCTTGGGCAAAGGTTCTAAGAAGCTAAGCTCCTCCAGGTCCAAGACAGCAGCTGGAAAACTGCCATCTGGACCTGGGGCTGGAAAACAGGGAAGGCAACATGTGCTATACCAAAAACCCCAAATGTGGCTCAGCTGGCCATCTCCAACAAGGGACCTAGAAAGCCTTGTGGGTGAGTACTGCTGGCTCATTTCCCTAATTAAGGGGCCTCAGACTAGACCCTACAAATAAGACCTGATTCAAGCCCATCAGTCTCTCTTTACCTGATTTTCTCTCTTCAGCCCCCATTCCACTCCACCCTTCCCTCTACCCCCACCCATGTGTGGCACCACTGTCACCAGGGCGGCCCTTTGGACTCCCCTCCCCTCCAAAAAACCCAAACAGCTCAGAAGTGCATCAATCGACCTTTAATGTCCAAAAGAGGCATGGATGCAGAGCATAGGAGATGTGGTGGGGTCTCAGCCCCTGCTCCAGAAATGAGGGAGAGATGAACACAAACCAGACATTTCCAACCGGCCACACAAGTCTGGGAAGGCAGGGGGAAACACAGATTTGGACATTCATAAAAAAATAAAACCTAAAACCAAGCACTCAATCTTGTGCCCACTGAAGGGTTTGATATAGGGAACTCACTCACCATCCCAGTACCCACCCTCCCCTGTCAGCATCAAAAGAAAGCTCGGCACACACTAAAGGCTTGGGGAGGGGGAATTCTGCCTCCCCACCAGCCCCAAGGATGGACTCAGAGGAAAAAAAAAAAAGAAATATTAGAATGAGCTGGATCCCAACCACCCCCCTCCCACAGTGCCAACCCTACAATGAGAGTTTTAGATGCGACTTACAAGAATCAGCAGCCCAGTCAGCAATGACCCCCCCACCCCCATCCCTGTTTGATCAACAGACAAGATTTCCCCCTGCACTCTCCTTGGAATCTCCTCCCACTAGCGGCCCTGCTCATGTCCTGATACCTGGCTTCACCACTGCAAGACTAATCCCCTCCAAAAGTCCTCGCAGCCCTTTATCACTTCCATCCCCACCTCCCATAAGGACTGCAACCACCCACAAAGTCACTTTCCCTCTCTACTAAGAACCAGTTCCAGGGCAGATGGCATCATGGCCATCTCCTCATGGGCTATCCTCCCAAAGCCTTCTGGGGAACAGACAGCCATAGGGCAAGCAGTGTCTGGGCCAGATGGGCGGGGGGGAGGGGTTGACAACTGTCTTCACCCCCAAAACAGACACCCCCCAGAGATTAACATAAAGGCCCAATTAGAACTAACCGTGCAGCCTATCTACCCATACACCCTAGAGATTCCACACTGTCCTGCCCCTCCCTCCCCTCTATCCCAAACCAAGACACACACACACACACACACACACACACACACACACACACACACACACAGGAGAATCAAGGGAGACACTGATTTGGTTTGATTGCTAAGACTTAACTAAGGAACTACAGTCACCAGAAATTCCCTTGCCAGCCAACTAACAGGGGCTGCTCTAAGAGAACTCCAGAGGAATGAGAAAACCAAGGGCTAAGCAGGGAGCAGAGAGAAGGAGAGAAGAATGAATAGGAGAAAAATCAAGCTAATCCTACCCCCAACATCCTCCTAGCACGAGCTCTGGCAGGAAGAATAGAAGAAGGTAATCCACAAAGACACAGCCCTTACTTAGAAACTGTTCTGACAAAGACAGCAAGACAAGTCTGCTCCCCACTCCCACACACCACAGACAAACACGTCTCAGGGCCCCTCAAAAGAATCCACCCCCACCCCACCCTCTGCCCCAAGTCGTGGAATCACAGTTCAGTGGAATATTCTCCCTGGTACTAGAGATCAATCCCCCTAGCCTCCTTCCTATCCCTCTCTCCTTGCCAAGCCTTATGCTGCCCCCAGCAGCCTCCCCAGCCCTTCCAAAGCAGCACCCACCACCAGGAGGTGGCTGCACAGTTTGAGTTCTGCCTCCAGAAACCGACTGCTCTCCCCCTGCCCTCCTAGTCTTACAGGCTTCGTTGAGGGCTTTTTTTTTAATTTTACGTAGGGAGAGAAAGAGAAGAGGGAGGGGTGGGAGAGATTTCCTAGTGCAATACAACCAAAGAAAAGATTTTGAAGTCTTGAAAAATAAACATAAAGCAGCCTTCTTCCCCAGGCAACTAAACAGAAAGAAGTTTGGTTTTGTTTACTGCGACATACACATGAAATCGAGTATACAGTCCATGCAGTAGCACAGCCATTGGAGAGGACATCCTGATGCTGGCCCCGGTGCAAAACAGTCCCAGCAACGCCGCCTGCCTGCCATCGCTGCCGCCGCCACGGACACCTCCACTGCGGCCTCCTAGCCGGACTTGAACAGGAGGATTGCAACTTGACCCAAGTAAAAATAGATGAAGTGCTTTGTCTCATGTGTAACATAGCTGCCAAAATTTCGGCCCACGATACAATGCCAGGTAGGGTTATATTTCTTGTCAAATTCCTAAAAAAAGAATAAAAGAGAGAGAAGAAAGGTGATTAGGACAACTGGAAGATGAGAAATCAGAATAGGCATCTGATTAATTTAGTTATCACCCCCCCCACCCCACCCCTAGCTCACAGCCTCAGCTCCCCAAACCTCAGGAGCTCAGGTTAAGGCTGGCTAGGATAACTCCTTCCTTCATTAATAATGGAACACCGCAAAGGCTCCATTATTTCTCTCTAGCACTTTACACCCCGATCATCTCTCCTCCTCCTCCTAGCTACCCTACTCCGTAGTCCACCCTGTGATTCTTTAGCAAAGGAGTCAGGAAAGCCCAGGGCATAAGAGACCACTCCAGTGTCACACAGCATGAGGAAAGCAGAGGAGAGCCTCCCCGACTTGCCACCTGCTGCCTCCTACATTACTAAACCAGCATTTCCAAATGCCACGAACCAAGACCCTAGAGCCAAACGTCAGGAGTACCAGGAAGCAGTTCTTTGTAAGTCAACGTTAAAGGCACTCCTGTGTGCCAGGTACTGTGTGGGCTGTAAACAGCAGAACAAGGACATCGGCCATGAGATCAAGGCAATTCCCTCACTTCTCTCAGGGGCACAAGTTCAGCATCAAAGCAACCTAGGAAATCCTTATGACCTAATCAGACAGGCAGTTCCCGGTCACTCCATAGATCCAGCAGGAAACAGATGGCTCAGTAGACGCACCCCGCCATGCAAGAGACCTCCACAATGGACCCAGCAAAGCTGCCAACCCTGAGACTGTCCCCCCAGGTTCTTAACTTACAACTTGTTTGGCCTCCTCACTGCCCCCTACACCAAGGGACTCCAAGAGGTATTAGGGAACAGTGGAAAGGGGATGGGTCACCAAATCCAGCCCTAATGCTGACTCTCAAGACTCTGAAACATAGGAGAGCCTTGGTCACTTCCCTGGTTCTCATTTTCCCCATCAGCAAAACAAAGAAGCTAGGCCAGATATAATCTAAGGATTCTCCTGACTCAGAGTCCATGATTCTGGATCCTCCTCCCTGTACAGGACAGATAAGGCATCACTCAGCAAGGAGCCAGCACCCCCAACTGGCTCTTCACCCACTGGCTCCTTATACAGATAGTCTCTCAGGACTCGAGTTTCCTCTTCTCATCCCACCCCGCCTAAGTAGGAAAGCAGATCTATAAAATTTAAGGATGCCCTACCACTTCTATGGACTAGAAAACCACTACACTTAGGCATCCCTTTTGGGATACTAGGGCTGAAAACATCAAAGACTGGGATTATGACACTAGCAGACATGGATTCTGACTGGGAATCAGAGGCCCTGGTACTACTTCTCACTTCTAGCTCAGCGGCTTCCTGTGTTAACCATATTCATTCACCCACTCGCTCAGGAATTTTTCAGGGACTAAACCTATTACCCCAATATTGCTCATCCATTTTTAGCAAATTATATATTCAAGCCCACCCTTTTCTTAAGAAGGTGGGGAGAAAGAGATGATATAGTACCTGAGTCCTTTTCAAGAGAAAGAAAACTTTCTGTATGATAGGAATTATTATAGGGATACCCCACTTTAAATGATGCAGTTACTTGGGGCACCTGGGTGGCTCAGTTGGTTAAGCGACTGCCTTCGGCTCAGGTCATGATCCTGGAGTCCCGGGATCGAGTCCCGCATCGGGCTCCCTGCTCTGCGGAGAGTCTGCTTCTCCCTCTGACCCTCTTCCCTCTCATGCTCTCTAGCTCTCATTCTCTCTCTCTCAAATAAATAAATAAAATCTTTAAAAAAAAAAAAAAACATGATGCAGTTCCTTGAAAAACTTGTATATGATCTTATATTATCTGTTCAATTATCCTTGATCTACATTTTGAATAGTTCTGAATTGAGCCAGTTACATTTGATACTAAGCTTCTCTCCCCAATGCCTTGCAATCACATAATTATCTATAACCACACACACACACACACACACACACACAGACACACACATAAGCACACCTCAGCAGAGTTCCTATTAAGAACTCCTAAGGTGAATGCTTTGGCAAGAATCACTCCCTAATTTGTCTGCTTTGCAAGCTCGTGGGTTTTGTTTGCATGGACTATACCTGCTTTCCTAAGCCCTCAGTTCAGATCTCCCCGGGGCACAGCTCAGATGCCCATCCCTACCCCTAGCCTAAAGCCACAGCATTCTTGGCGCACCTTCTTGATATAGGCAGCAATGTCCTTCTCTATGTTGTACTTCTCCATAGCCTGCGTGGCGCAGTCAACAGCATCCTGTTGCATGTCCTCAGACATGTCTGCGTTCTTGATCACTGCCTTCCGGTCAGACATCGTGACACTGCAGAAGAAGCAGAGAGGTCAAACTGACAACCCCATACTCTATGCAACGAACATCAGCAGCTGAATGTGGAGCCTCAGTGGGAGAACAGAGTACAGAAGGTGATGACAACAGAAAACACAGACATGAGGCATTATTAGAAGAGGGAGGTCCTAAGCTTTTAGCAAAGACCTGGTCCCCAAACCTGAGAAATACAAGGTAGATAGGAAAAAAAGACAATAAGCCATCAATTTTTATCATTTGTAAAATAAGGTTTTTCCAACTCTAAATTTATCTCTGATATTTTAAATAGCACCAATTGCCAAAATATTACAATATTATCACCTATTAGCTGTGTCCTTGGGCAAGTTACCCTTTGTGCTTTCATACCATCACCTTGAAATGGAGACTTCAGGGTTATTGAGGGCATACCAGGTGGCCTTAACACCTGAACACAATAAGCTCTTGATTTAATGACCATTATTGCATCATTGGTAACACAGTGGAAAGAAGATGGACTAGAATCAGTAGGCCTGACTTCTGGTTCTGACTATGAACTCTTGTAGTCTTGGACAAGTCACTCAGCCTTACTGCATTCATTACTTCCATTTTAGCAATGAAGATAGCTCTCTATCAGGGGTTGTTGTAAGGACTAAGGTTATATGAGAACATCTGCAAACAAGGACAATCTACACTGGAGTCTGTTGGCCTGATTCAGCCCACCACCTGTTTCTGTAAAGTTTTACAGAACAGTCAACAATGGCAAAATTGAGTAGTTGCAAGACAATGCAAGGCCTGTAAAGCCTAAAATATTTACTATTTGGCCTTTCACAGAAAAAGGTTAAGGCCCAGCAGTGACAGAGATAACAAAAGGTGAGGAATTATTTTAACAGCCCTGTTTCATATCCCTGCTATCTAAGCCTTGGCATTCACATCCTACAGCAACCAGAATTCTGGGGTAGACCTTGCATGGTCCGTTCCTGGGATGACAGGAATCCCAAGAAGGCTGGTCAGAACCTGCCTGGCAGTCTATAGCATGTGAGTGCTTTGCGTGAACAGAAGAGATGAGCTGCAAAAACCAATCCTCTGTCCTTGACCACATTCCCATCACACTGATCCCCCATACCCCCCCCAAAAAGAGGACTCTGTCACCCAGCCCAGTAGACAAAAGATGTCGTCATTCCAGCCCTGTCTGATATTAAGGCTACACAGGAGGCCTGCCTGCTCAAGGAGAGATCCCTGGTGTCATTCCAGGCCACGTTGATCTCTGTGTCCACACTAGCCTGTGTGCTGGGTGGACTGAAAGGGAAGCAAAACTCATGATTACTCCTTTAGCCTGCACCAGATGCAAAGGAAGCATACATGCCAGCTGCCAGCCACACAGCCCTTGACCGCACCCAAGGCACCTCAAACTAAACAGGGCTGGTTCTACTTCAGCAGAGACTGTCAGAGGAAAGGGTTAGCGGACCAGCAAAAACTGACCCCACACCCCTGCGAGGAAGTCAGAGCTTCAAAGAGTATGTGAGCACCACCAGGTGCTGAGGAAAAGGTCAGGAGAACCCTGTTCAAGGCCTGACTAGCTATCTACACGACCTTGGACAAAGCAACATTCTTCATTTTATAAAAACGGATGGTTGAAATAAGATAAATGGGGAAACTTCAATGAGTTTGCAAAGATATACAACAGCAGAAGAGGAAGAATGTTCTGATTATTATAAGGCTCTTTATATTTGAAGAAAACTAGTGTCACCTGGTGGCCTATTCCAGGTTACCACTCAGAAGGGGGCACTGTTTACAAACGCAAGGGTGGGGGTGGGGCCTGGTTAGAGACTGTGAAGTTAAAGCATGAAATTGGCACCGGTTTTCCCAGCAAGCTCACCTGCTCCACCGCCTCATCCCCAAAGTCCAAAGGAACAACTTTGTCACAGTAATTAAAAGCCACCTTACACTCTCTAGTAGCAGAGAGCCTGCGGTTACATAACGTCGGTCTTGTGACTACAATGCTACGATTCTTCACCCCTGGGCCCCCAGGCGTGAGGGCTGAGGCCTAGCCCCAACCTGCCCTGTCCAAGGTGCCAGTGAGAAAAGGATAAGGAGGTGCCTGGCCTACCCACCTCCCTCCTGGGACAAAAAAGCAAGGAACCTGGGCCTCCGACAGAAAGATGACCAGAAGGCTCCAGGCCAGCTCCTCAGTTAAAAGCCAGGGGCTCTTTGGAAAAGCGAAGAGAGCACTCCAGGACAGCTCCCCATCCCCTATCCCCGGTTTTGCGACAGGAAAGGCCAAGTCTCCGAAAGACCTGGACCACCCTCCCCAGCCCCCAACACACACACATGCTGGTATTTCCTCCCCTGAGATCTCCAAGGGGGCTTATCCCTCCACCATGCCATCCTCCGGAGAGCTGCGGCCCCCAAAGGCCAGCACCTCGGGCATGAGAAAGCATCCTCCCCCCAACCTCCGCCCCGGTCGGTCAGCCGCCCTCCCCCGCCCGGCCTGGAGCAGCGCCGGAGTGACTGGGCGTCCTCGCTGCAGGAAGGACGCCCCAGAGGGTGGCGGCGGCAGGAGGCGCCGCGTCACGCCCGAGCCCTCTCCACCCCCTCTCCCTCGGCCCCGAACACCAGAGGCCTCCACGCAGCGCAGGGAGACTCCCGGGAGGGCCGGGGGGGGGGCGCGGGGAGGAGGCGGGGAGCCGCACCTCCGCAGCCCGGGCCCTCCGGCCGCGCCCGAGGGTCGCGAGGGCACAGGGTGGCGCAGCCCTGGGAAGGAGGGGCGCCGAGGGCGTCACGCCGAGGCCAGCTCTGCTCCGGGCCTCGGGGCTGGGCCCCGCGCGTGGGGCTGCACGCGACCGGCGCGGGCCGCCGCCCGGGGGACGCCCCCACCGACCGCTCACCTTCACGGAGGCTAGTCCGCGCGGGGCCCCGGGGGAGCAGCAGCGATGGCCTGAGGCAGGGCGCGGGCAGGGGCGGTGTCCCCTCGGCTCCTCCTGCAGCAGCAGCAGCAGCAGCAACCGCCGCCGCGGTCTCCGGCTCCCGCGGCCCCGGGCCGATCGCTCTTCGCCGCCGTCCGCCCTTCGAGCTTCCCCGGCCGCCCGCGCTCCGCCTCGCGCCCGCCGGCCAGCCCGCCTGCTCCTCGCTGGTGCCTCGCTGCTCCGCTCCGCTCTGCCGCTGAGCGCGGCCGACGCGCGGCCCCCGCTGAAATAGCGCCCCGCCCCCGCCCCCCCGCCGCGCGCGCCGCCGTCCGCGCTCCCCATTGGCTGCGCCCGCCCGGCCCCGCACTGCGGGCTTCTCCCCGCGCCGCTCTCGCCCCACATCTTGTTTCCTCCCACAATGCCTCGGGGCGGAGGGAGGGGGAGCGGGAAAGGGTGGGGGGAGGGAGATGGGGCCTTAAGAGAAAGGAGGAGAATGCAGACCCCCTCCCCCCAGGGCTAGGAGGCAGGCCTAAAAAGGAATAAGGAGGCGAGGCTTAGAGAGAGGGAGGGGTGTAAAGACCCCAATGCCAAGAAGAAGAAAGGGAGAGAGAGGGATGGAGATTTCAGACCCTGGGAGCTGATGGGGAAGGGGTAGAGATCCTAACCTGAGGAAGAGGAAGGGAAAGGAGGTGAAGTCATCAGCCTCAGAGGAAAAGACAGGACACCCCTTCCCTACCCCCAGATCTGTTGGAAGGAGAGGCACAGCCCGCTCTGCGGAGAGGTAAAGGCATAAACAGCCCCAGGGCTCCCCTCCCCTTGTAGTCAGGAAAAGTCCCTTCCCCACAGCAGCTCAGCCTTTGTTCCCGAGTCTCAAGGCCACAGGACCTCAACTCCCAGCTGGAGCCCCAGCTGCTGTTTATCATCAAGAGCAATATGGAGGCAGACCCTAAGCACAGGTGTGAGAAGGGAGGTTGGTCTTTGGCACGCAGGTTTCTGGAGTAGAGGTGAGAGTAAGCCATCGCTGGTCAGTCGAGACCTGTCGGGGAGTGCCTAGAACCCCCAAGAGGAGCGAACCGGAGTCTGGCGGAGCTGTGAGGAAACTTAAAATTCAGCCCATCCGTATTCCTCACCTTACAGAGGAGAGAACCAAAGCACAGAGGGGGCAGAGCCCTCCCCAGATCACCGCAGGTCAGGCCTGGTCTGGGCTTCTAGGCTGAAAAGTGGTGCTTCTAGGCAGTGGCCCCTCTGGTGGCTGAAGAGGCTCTGTGGGAGTGTGTGTAAATGCCTGTGAACTTGGGGAGAGGGCCTGCCCTCCACTCTACCCCACCCACCTCCAGAGAACAGGATAAGTCTGCCTGTATCTTCCCCTCTGTTTCACAAAGGAAGTGTCTCCCTAAAGGGGTGGTGAGAATCTTTATAGGGAGCCACGCATTTGGGCCACACAGTGAGGATTAAGAAGCTCCCCTTCCCATCATTTTCCCCTCATTGCCCCAAACTTTGGTCAGGAAGTCGGACTTGCCCTGGCCGGGGTCTGCTCTGGTGTGGAGCATTATAATTTAATATTCATTATGTGTCAGGGGAAACCTGGAAAATCATGCCCTCCCACTTCTGCTTTCCACAGCTCTGTCATCTCCCAGCCTCAGTTGGCATTCTAGAGAAACAGACAAGCCTTGATGTATCCCCTCACACCCAGGGTATTCTGATGTCAGCCTCTGTGTGAATGAATGGGGGGCGGGGCACATGTGGGTGAGAGGGAGGAGATGAAGGATACTTGATCACCTTAAGGCTTGTGGAGAGCTGGTATCATGCACTACTGGGAAGAGAACTTGTACCCTCTTTCTCCAGTGGTCATTAGCTTCCAGCCCATTCTATGGCCTGAAGGTCAGAACTGCCATGTATGGTTGTGCAGGTTGTTCACTATACAATGACATTCAGCCTAAAGAGCAAGTGGCGGCTAAAATATAGCCTGCACTTCACTTGCTAAGCTGTGTGCCCTGGTACAGGCCAGTGTTCACCCAAAAGATGCATACTTTTTTTCAAGTGTGCATAAAGGTGACTGAACTAGTGGTGGCCCTTCCAAGGCCATACTGCTGGCATAAAGATCCTCCCTCTCCCTGGCCCCATTGCCTAGAGTAGCAAGTGTTTGGTCATTCCCAGTCCTGGGAGGTGGTGGGGTGGAGGTAAGGGCACAGAGAACTTCAACTCATAGGCGTCAGAACGAAGGCTTTGACTTTTAAGAAATGTGGGTGTCAGCGTGTGTGTGAAATATGTGTGAGAAAGACTTAAGGCTCTGGGATGTCAGGAAGACTTGCTAATAATAGTATGGTTTATAGATAATAATTAATACTGTGCCAGGCTCTAGTCTAATTGTTTTCAATGTATTGTTGCATTTAAATCTAGAACAATCGCAGTGAATAGGTATTACTATCTTCCGGTACAGATGTGGAAACTGCCTCTTAGAGAAGTTCAGTAACTTGCCCAGGATTACCCCGCTTTTGTCAATGCAGGGTCAGCCCCAGGCTCTCTGTTCCCCGGGCCTATACTCTTAGCCATTCCTCTGTCCCACCTCCTAACAGAGAAAAGAAAAAAGTGTAAGCTGGGGTGGGGGGGGGGTGGCTCTCTACCTGAATTATACCAGCATTTTGTAAACTTACCTGATTCTGAAGCCCTTTTTGATCCAAACGTTTATTAACCTCTCCAGGAACTACTATTCCACAGGACACAGTTAGGGAAACGTGCTATAGTAATTACGGCTATTTATGTGAAATGCTTACTGTTTAGGGTAATCACTGTGCAACGTAATAACTGTTGTCATTAATATGTCGGCTTAATTTGGCAGACCTTTTTATTTGATGCCACTACACACCCGTGATTGCCCAGTTATCTCTTGCCCAGATGGCAGAACCAAGTCTTCAGACTTAAAAATCAGAGTGAGGGGCACCTGGGTGGCTCAGTCGGTTAAGCGTCTGCCTTCGGCTCAGGTCATGATCCCAGGGTCCTGGGATCGAGCCCCCGCATCGCATCAGGCTCCCTGCTCAGCGGGAAGCCTGCTTCTCCCCCTCCCACTCCCCCTGCTTGTGTTCCTGTTCTTGCTCTCTCTCTCTGTCAAATAAATAAATAAAAAATCTTAAAAAAAAAATAAATAAAAATCAGAGTGAACTTTCGTTCTTGTCTTCTCCGCGGGCTCCTTACCCTCCCCCTCCTTCTTTAAACTAAGAGTTCCCCAGGGCACTGTGCTTTGGTCACTGTTCAACTTGAGTAGTTTCATCCACATTCATGGTTTTTTACCATAATCTGAGTCCTGATGGCCCCCCTAATTCTTAGACCTTTTTACTGTGGGTGTCCCACAGACTCCTTAGACTCTTCACATACATACATATAAAGCCTAGTCATTAGGACCATTGGCCCTGGGGCCAGAATGCCTGGGTTTGAACCTCTTTCCACCACTCTACCAGCTGTGCAGAACTGGTCAAGCTATTCATCATCTCAAAATTTCATTTTCCTCGTGTATAAATCAAGAATAATACCTATTTCATAGTTAGGAGAAAATGCATTAAAAACTCTTGGCATGATGGCTGGTCCATACAAATGATGAATAAACATTAGCCATCATCAACATTTCTTTTCCAGACTTGTTTCCCTTCCTTGTATTTCTTACCTCAGCTCACGGCCCCATTATCCACCCAGGGACTAAGTAAAAAACCTGTGAACCCCCTCACCCACCCCATGTCTGTCATCACTCAGCTCTTGACTATTTTTCCAGCCCCCATCCCCTTTCATTGTGAATACCCTGCATGGGGAACTCATCATCTCTTCTAGTTGGTTCCCGGCCTGCAATCCTGGCGGCTCCTCCCCAATCCACACAGAGTGATCTATCTAAAATACAAATCTCCCAGGCACTTCCCTCTTCTCTGCTCCAAAAAAAAAGACTGCTCTTTCCCATAACTTACCTCCCCCATCTCACCCTCCACATCTCCCCACCCCACCTTCTCTCCCCACACTTCCCATCTCCCTCTTTGTGCTCTAGTAACACCCAGCTACTGCCTGTGGTTTCCCCCACACCCAGATTCCACACCTTTGTTCGTGTGATTCCCTTGCCTGGGAGGTTTGTGGCTTGCTTTGCTGGCTAACTCCTTGGTTTGCGTGTCCTCTGTGAAGCCTGCCTGAATCCCAGGTGTTTATCACTAACCACCTTCTAGTAAACTTGTGAGGCTTAAGTTTGTCTGTAGTTCCTTGCAGACAGGGATTACATCCTATTTACGTGTGGGCTGTAGAACCTAGCATAGTTCTCGGAACAAGGGAAGTTCTCTGTCTGTATTGGTTAAATTGATCATGCTTATCAGGGTAGGACCTGTGGAACTCCCACAGTGGAGAGGTCAGGACTTAGGGGGCCACCAGGGCCCACATGGTGGTAAAAACCATGAATGTGGATGAAACTGCTGCATGGATGAAAAATATGAATTAGGACACTTCATCCCTTCCTCCACCCAAAGAACTGTGTTAGGGTTCTCCTGTTTCTTTCTCTAGAACCAGCAACACCTGCTATTTACACCGGGGGCCTTCCTGCCCAGAACAAGTTGCTAGCTAAGGTAAATCATTGTCAGTGCTGGGGAACGCCTAGGCCTGACTTGTGAATGGATTTCCTCCTTATACTTCCTGCTGGGTAGTTGGCTGATACTCTGACCCTTACAGGTAAAGACAATCAAAGGCTCTCCACCCCAGTTGACCAGGTCACCCAGAAGAAAGCATGGCAATGACAAAAGTCATTTCACCAAGCCCTTCAGCTGTTGGCTTGCTTCAAAGACTCCAAAAGGACGGGGAAGGGTGGGAATATACCTGTGTCATATACCCTGACACTTGGTGAATGCAAACCCTGGTGCCAGTCCCCTCCGCCAAGTTCCCAGTGGGGCGGGGGGGGGGGAAACAAAGGAAGAAAGCAATATGACAGGAACTACTGGAATCTGTCCCAATTCCTCACTGATTTCTTGAGTGGCCTTGCAAAACATACTTTCCTAGGCAATCATTTACCAAGCCCTAAATATCACCCTTCCTCCTTCCCAAGTGCCCTGAAACCTGGAGGAGCCAGTCAAGGTCAACAATGTGCCTGAGAACTAGTGAGATGAGCACTGGACTGGGAGTCAGAGAAGTCCTGAGCCCAGTTTGGCTCTAGTCAAATCATTTCATTTATCAGAATCTGGATTTCTTCATCTAGAAAATGTAGGACTGGATAATCTATAAGGTCCCTATCAGTGCCCAAA